ATGTAAAACCCTGAATAGACCAATAGTAGGCAATGAAACAGAGACAGTAGTAAAAACCTTACCAACTAAGAAAAGCCCACGACCTGATGAATTCACCACAGAATTTTACCAGAGCTTCAGGAGACATCTAAAGCCAGCAGTCTTCAAATTCTTCCATGAAAATTAAATGGAAATAACACTGCCAAACTCATTCTTGGAAGCTATCATCACCCTGGTTCCAAAACCAGACATGGACTCCATTTAAAAAATAAACTACAGGGCCAGGGATTTAGCTCAGTGGTGCCACCACCTGCCTCACAAGTGCAAGGTCCTGAGTTCGATCCCCTGTACCAAAAAAAAAAAAAAGAAAAGAAAAAAGAAAAAACTACAGGCAAAATGAACATAGATGCAAAACCCTCAATAAGATACTAGGTTTTCCTCATTCTATTGATGCAAGGATGGTTCAGAATTCATAAACCACACACCTGTAATCCCAGGACTCAGGAGGCTGAGGCAGGAGGATCACCATGAGTTTGAGGACAGCCTGGACTATGTACTGACTTCAAGACTAGCCTAAACTACAAAGCAAGGCCCTGTCTCAAAAAACAAAAATACATAAACCAATAAATATAATATATAAACAGAAGGACAAAAATCACATAATCATCTCAATAGATGGTAGAAAAGCTTTTGAAAAAATCCAACATACTCCGGCACCTGCCTTGCAAGCACAAGGTCCAGAGTTTGATCCCCGGTGCAAAAAAAACAACAAAAAAGAGAGGGCCGGCGATTTAGCTCAGTGGTTCCACTGCCTGCCTCGAAAGCGCAAGGTCCCGAGTTTGACCCCTGGTACCAAAAAAAAAAAAAAAGTAGATATAAAAGGACCTTATCTCTCACTGATAATAGCCATTTATGACAAACACCACCAACATCATATTAAATGAGGAAAAACTCAGCATTTCCTCTAAAACCAGACAAGGGCATCTGCTCTCGCCCCTCCGGTTCAATGTAGCAATCAAAAGTTTAGCCAGAGCAATTGGCCAGGAGAAAGAAATACAAAGAATGTGTATAGGAAAAGAAAAAAAAACTATCCTTATTTTTGGATGACAATTTTTTACACGGAATACCCAAAAATCTCCACCAAAAGATTCCTAGAACTAATAAGCAAATTGAGCAAAGCAGCAGGATATGAAATCAATACACAAAAATCAAGAGTGTTCTAACACCAACAGTGAACCCATCAAGAAAGATATCAGAAAACAATCCCATTTACAATAGCTTCAAAAAATTAAATACCTAGGAGTTAACCTACTAAGGAAGTGAGAGTCCTCTCTAATGAAAACTATAGTACAGGGGCCGGGGATTTAGCTCAGTGGTTTCGCCGCCTGCTGCGCAAGCACAAGGACCCGAGTTCGATCCCCGGTACCTAAAAAAAAAAAAAAAAGAAAGAAAAGAAAAGAAAAGGAAACTACAGTATACTGAAAAAAAGAGATTGAAGAGGACATTAGAAAATGGAAAGACCTCTCTTCCTGGATAGGCAGAACCAATACTTTCAGAATGGCCATATTCCCCAAAATGATACACAGATTTAATGCAACCCCAATAAAAATACCAATATTATTCTTCACAGATTTAGAAAAAAAATTCTAAAATTTATAAGAAACCAGAAGAGACCCCAGCAGTGGTCATGGCACAAATTTGGTAGTAAACTCAAAGTACAGCAGCTAAGGTCCTCCCTTGATTCTGCATCCTGCCAGGAGGAATGAGAGGCAGTTTTTCTTCCATCACTTCCCACCCTGCTTTTTACATAGCTTTTTCTGATAGGATACAGGCTGGGTTTCTATAACAAGAGACTCTCTTCCACCTCACCCCAACCCCTAAAAAAGTGACTTAAGCAAGTTGGAATTTCATTTCTCTCCCACATGATAGTCTGGGCTACAGGTTTAGGACCAGAACATTTGTCTCCCAGACTATTTTGTTGCTCCACCGTTTGTGAGATACTTCCCTTACTTACCTTGTCAAAAACGGGTCATAGGGCCGGGGATTTAGCTCAGTGGTTCCGCCGCTTGCTTCGAAAGCACAAGGACCCAAGTTCAATCTCCAGTACCAAAAAAAAAGGGTCATATTCTTAACTGGAGACAGAAGGGAGGGTGAGAGGCAAGCATGCTTGATTCCTTTTATGGGCCTGACTCAGAAATTACAAACATCACTTCTGTGCTCACTCACTGACTAGAACTTAGTCACAGAGGGTCTGCTACAATATGTGGGAAGGCAATGTTTCTACAGGAAGAAGGATACAATGAGTAATTGGAGAACAATCTGCAATTTCTGGTCACACCTAAGACTGCTTCTCTTCCTGTCTCTGTCCTGTATTGTGTCTGCAAGCCTTGCATAGACCAGTACCAACTAGGGCCACCCAAGGCGGGGATGCTGTGTGACTCTGGCCCCCTGTGATATCCAGAGGCCCTCATTGCACAACTCTAGGGGGCACCATCCAGGGCCAGTCTGTGCTTCACATCCAGCTGTGCAGTGAGGCAGTTGTGTTCATCCCTTGTGGCTTATCAGATACCCTGTCCAGTCCATCTCCTATGGACTTCTCAAGTCATTCTCTGTTCCACCCATCTTGTTTTACTTCGGCTGTTTACCTTTTGCTGCTTGGATCTTTGTAACGTCTTCTTAATGGTCCTTGATGCCCACTAGTCTCTTTCCCCTTCAGTCCATCCTCCACAGCCCAAACAGCAATCCTCCTAAGAGAATTGCTGGCTTCACATTCTTCAGTGGCTCCTCACAGCCACTGTTAGAAAGGGTCACTTGAGTCTGGCCACCCTGCCTTTCACCCCTGCCCAGTGAGCAGCCCTGGTGTTCTCCAGCATATCTGTGTCTTCCTGCTCTCAAGGCCCTCTGCCTAGTAGGCCCTTTCCAGACTCATTTCCATCACCAAGACTTTGCTTGAGTATTTCTTCTCTGCAAAATTTCCTTGATGTCTCCTTTACTTCCTTAATGTCTCCTTTACTTCTCTGCAAAACTTCCTTGATGTCTCCTTTCCTTTACTTCCTTGATGTCTCCTTTACTTCTCCTGACAGTTCCCCCTGTCAGGACATCACATCATAGACACTTTAATAGCTCTGAAATCAGGAGGCATCTTCAGGAGGTGGAGTCTTACAACTGCTCTTGACCTCTATGGAAGTAAGATACTCCCAGAGGTTTGGAGTTGCTCTCCCTAGTCACTGGGGCAGACCCTCCTGAGTCTGTGGTAGGCAGCCTCTCAGATGACTCTCACCTCTTCCTGCCTCTTGGCATTGATGCCCCTGTGTAAGCCCCTCCCCTCAAGTATAGGCTGGACGTGATGCCTTGCTTCCAGGGAACAGAATGCCCCAACAGGGATGGGATGTTAGGGTTGGGTTACCAAACACTTGCCCATCTTCTCCACAGCACATATACTCACTCACACACTCTCTCTTCTCCTCCCCCAAGCTTTGCTCTGCAGGAAGCAAGCAAGTTTATACATTAATAATGTTTGGCAAGAATATATAAAGTAAATCCCAGGCGAAAGGCTTACTGAGCCAAAAGGTGCATACAATTTTGTCCTCCAGAAAGTCTTACCAAGTTATATTTCTATCTCCTGAGAATGCCTTTCTCATCTCTTTATCCCTTTACCAGTATCTCCCCCTCCACACCACCTCTGTTGTTGTTTTTGAAATAGGGACTTGTTGTGTAGCCCAGGCTGGTCTCAAACTCACCATCCTTCTGCCTCAGCCTCCAAGAGTGCTGGGATTACAGGCGTGTGTCACTATATTCAGCTACCTCAACTGAAACTTTTATAAAGCCTTGGTTAGCAGTCACAGGAAATTGACTTCATTGTGATGCAGTCATATGCCTCAGATATTAACTCCTCCTCTATTATCAGTCTGTGATGAAGTAACTTGATTCCATAGATGCAGAGGCAAACATGAGCAACAAAACCATGAAATCATAGGGAAACATACATTTTTTTGGTAGTAGGAATTGAACTCGGGACCCTGCATTTTCGAGGCAGGGGGCTGAACTACTGAGCTAAATCCCCGGCCACATACAGGTTTTTATAAATAGTGATGCGGATGAGTCTGAACTTTCTTAAACTAAAATTTTAAATAGGGCCAGTGATTTACCTCAGTGGTTCCACCGCCTGCCTCAAAAGTGAAAGATCCTGAGTTTGATCCTCGGTACCAAAAAAAAAAGCAATTGTCAAGGGCCAGGGGATTTATCTCAGTGGCACCATACCTGCCTTACAAGTGCAAGGTCCTGAGTTCAATCCCTGGTACCAAAAAAAAAAAAAAAGCAGTTGTCAGTACAAGAAAGTTCTATATAGAAGACCCTTGCCCTAGTTATTGGAAATGTCCATGATGATAGCTATAACCTTATTTGTTCAAGAATACCTGTGATCAGAACAAGAACATTGGTTTTCGTGTTTTTTGGTTTTTTGAGACAAGGTCTCACTATGTAGTTTAGCTTGGCCTTGAACTCACTATGTACCCAAGGCTGGCCTCAAACTCCAGGTGATCTTTCTGCCTCAGCTTCCTGAGTGCTGGGACTACAGGCATGTACCACAAAGCCCAGCTGTAGAACAGATTTTTAAAATTTATTTTTCCTACAACCTTGACCTAGAAAGACCAGGCTAGTCACCCCCTACAGTGTCCCACTTTCTGGATTTTTCTGATTGTTTACTTGTAGTGTCATCTAACAACAGCCTCTAATACTGCAAGTTGAGTCTAAAGACCTGACTAGAGTCAGGCTAAACACTGCATCACAACAAGAGGCACTTAATGACAGTTTTATTTATTTTTAATTTTATTTATTTATTTATTTATTTATTTATTTATTTATTTTTGGTACCAGGGATCGAACTTGTGTCCTTGAGCTTGCAAGGCAGGCACCAGAACCACTGAGCTAAATCCCTGGCTCTATTTTTTGTTTTATACTGTCTTTAAAATACCCCTTGGGGGAAAAATTACCCCTTGAATATGATTTACCTAACAGATATCTGCACCAAAATAAGAAACTTTATTTAGATGTTAGGACAGTGAATAGGCAAAGTTTTACAATTTATTGAACTCAGATTTGAGTTTTTAAAAAAACTATATTCAAGCTATGAATATTTCACTTATAAAGTTCTGCATGTGGCACACTTCTTTCTGTCCAAAGGTAAAAAGCTATCTGTATTTGCTTAATTCTATTACTGTATTTTGCTTTTTCAACATGACTTAGTATCCTCAGTCATTCCCTTGTTATTCAGTGTTTATATTTCCTTTTCTCTTATGCCTTTTTGGGCTTTTTCGTCTCTCTTTATGTTCTTGAGCATATCTTTGATGTGCAGGGTGTTGTTCATTCCCAAGATTCACAATAATTACCTCCCTAGAAAATGTCACTCCTTTTAAAGGTCTTTTTTGGCTTTCGGTAACTGAAGGTATGAGTGTTTCCTGCAAATTTTCATCCTGTAAGGTAATGGGATACAGTATAAATGATCAATTTATGAACATAACAAGCTCTTAGCTTTTAGAGATATAGGTTCTATGTACATTGTGAACAAGAAACAAAAAAGTACTGTATTTCTTTTCTTTTCTTTTTTCTTCCTCTGGTACCGGGGATCAAACTCAGGACCTTGTGCTTGCGAGGTAGGTGCGGCGCCACTGAGCTAAATCCCTGGCCTCAAAAGTACTGTATTTCCAAATGATATAGGAAAGCAATGAGAATCCATCACCGTCACATTTTAATATTTCTATGGCCGTAAAAGCCTGCATCGACAGGTTAAATATTACTTGATGATACATGTTAGTCTCTCTGTAAAGGAGTCAAACGCAAGAGCCATGTGGACCACTGTTTGTGTCTTGGGTGGAGCCTGGCTATGTGGTGGGAAGGGCACATGCCTGTTGTCATTACGGCCACAGATATGGAGCTCATGAAGCAGCGTTTGTGTGATGCTGGGGAAGGGGCCGGCAGGTATCTGCAGGGACATGGGGGATGGGCCTGAGGTTGGCCTCAGGGAGGAATGAAAAGTCTGTCTCATTTTCTCATCCGAGAAATTTGGATCCCCAGATGACCTACAAGGTCTCTTATAGCTCCAAGATCCCAGGAGTCTAAAAGAAACAAAACCAAGGGGGATTATTAAGAAAAATACAAATGTAAGAATGCAGAATGAGCGAGCACACATCTAGGCTTGGCATATGTAACTGGTTTAATACCCTAAGGTTTAGAAAAATGTCTTAAATGGCTGGACGTTGGACTCCTTCCTGCTACAAACCTAACCTACAGGAAACACCAGTGAGTAATTTTCCTGCTTCACAATCAAACATAAATTATAAATTGCCTATTGAAAGTAGAACAGTGCCTTACCTCTTGATTCACTTCTCCAGAATCCTCAGGCCCTTGCCTGTCTTTCATTTTGACCTCTTTCTCTGCCTCTGTGCCCTCTCTGTTTCCTAAAGATGTCACCACCTTATTCTGTCTCTGGACGAGAATCCCAGGCCTCACTGGTGCATTCGAGCCTATGATCTGCATCAGGATCCTGGAAAATCAATTGGCAGAGGTTTAAAACTCCATGTATAATAGTCAGTGTAATCACAGAAAGTGGCTTCCTACCCCATCCTCAGGTACACACTTTTCTTGGTCTCCTGCCTCGTTTGTCTCATTAGCAGGTGAAGATGAGCAATCGTCACCTCCATTAGCATCTATACAAGGAATTTTTTCTGTCACTTCATCTTTTTTGTCTTGGAAACTGAAAATAAACATGCAAAAAATTCAGAATAGGAAGAGTGGCCATGAGTCTAAGGTCTCCTGTGGGAATTTCACTTTTGTACAGGAAATTAGCATTTTTAAAACCCTGAGATGCAAAAAGTAGATAGCTGCTGTGTTACTTGTTCTGTTTTAAATTATTTCTAGATACATTTGCTAGTGTGACCTGAAATCTGATTCCAATTTATCAATATGGATTTATACCATTTATATATAAAAAACACCAATAAAAAGAAGATGCAAATGAAGCAAATTAGAAGGATGGTGAAGAAAGGGACTGTGGTGCTTTCAAAGCTCCGAGGATTAGCTTTTGAAGACTCGTCCATTCTCATAGACTGCCCAGATACTCTTTTCTAGCTCAGTTTGAAGGTAGTTCTTTTCTTTAAGTTTTCTAGAAACAGAAGAATAAAAGGCTATTTTCACTGCTGATCTGTCAATCAGGCAAACTTCATAAAGATGCTCTACTTGTTTCAGTGGTGGCCACTCACACTGGCTAATTTCTCTCCATAAATGTGGTGGGGGCAGAGGTGGCCAGCCAGAGGGGAGACAGCTGGGTCCCAGTGATCACTCAGGTCACCTCCCCTCACCCCAAAATCTACAGGAATCCAGAGGAGAGGGGAATCAGAGCAGCTGGAGCCCAGCCCAGTGCCCGTTCTTCTCTCCTCAGTGACATCACAGAATGATGGAACTGTTGAGTTAGAGAGAGAAACGGTTACCTGAAGTCAGGAGAACCACAAAATGCTTCTCTGAGCATTGTCTGCTCTGCCCTCTGAAAAGCCCAGAGTGGAAGCCATTATTTTGGCCATTCTTTAGAAAAGCATTTTCTTTCTACTTTCAAACACCATCCTTTCTGTCCTAATCTGAGCCTGGCTCTTTTGCTACTTCTTTAAAAGATATGAACAATTAGTTCACTTCCTTCTTACAACAGCCCTCTCTGTAGCCCATCTGCTACAGCCCGTCTGTAACACCATCTGCTAATGGTGTTATCTCCCAGCTGAATGGACCATATTCTTCTAATTCCAACTCTCTGGACTTACTTCTTGGACACACAAGAAACCTGGCAGTTTTCAAGGTATGAGGAAGCAGGGGAAGAACAAGATGACCAGAGTAAAGATAAATCCTGGCCCAAACCTAACTTCAAGTAAGAGCTGGTAACACTCATGGTAATGAGGGAGAAGATGGAGCTAGAATTATTTTACACACTGAAATTCCCACCCCGAATGTGAAACTAGGAGGCAGGGGGAAGGGAGGGATGGGTAGGAGTGATGAAAGTATCTTGTATGCCTGTGCAAACCTGGCGAAATGAAACCCGTTCATCTGTATCACTAATAAAAACAAAAACAAACCAAAAGCCAGGCATGGAGGTGCACGCCTGCAATCCCAGCACTGGGGATGCTGAGGCAGGAGGATCACTGTACGTTGGAGGCCAGCCTGGACAACATAGCGAGTCCATGTCTCAAAAAACAAAACAAAACAAAAACAACCAAACAAACTAAATCAAGGGAAAAATATAAATCCAAATAGGATTTACCTAACAAGGTATCAAATACAGATTTTAAAATAACAATGTTTAATATGTAAAAGGAAAAAAGACAGAACTTTGGCAGAGCACTAAAACAAAATTCAGAAATTATTTAAAATTATGTAAAACAATACAATATCAGAAATTAAGAACTCAATAGACAGGTTTGACAGATAGTTATTTAAACAGGACCAAAAAACAAAAGCACACACTAAAAATCGAAGCTAAGCATGGTAATACCTATAATCCCAGCATGCAGGAAGCCAAGACAGGAGGATCATGAGTTCAAGACCAACTGGGCTACATAGTGAGTTCAAGGATGATCTGGACTATACAGCAAGACCTTGCCTCAAAAACGAAACAAAACAAACAAAAACACACAGCAATAAAAGCCTTCCTTCATTTTTTTTTTTTTTTT